TTGACAAGTAATTCCCATCTCACAGTTCCAGATCATACGACCACCGACGACTCAAAGTCAATCCTCCTGGACGACCACACACAGACCGACGACGACTACACTTGGGCCAACGACGACTCAACTTTCCTTGACTGTGGAACCGACGACCTTAACGACACAGATCTCATGGACGACGCAGACACTCGCAGAAAGCATGACTCCATCCTTGGACGACTTGGCTACGACCTCTCCACCCGCGGAATCGTCCGGTGCGCCTCCAGGTACAAGTCGAACGCAGAGTGCAAACCGTTTGGTGTCTACAGATATTCGGGCGGTTTGTAAAAATTGTGCGACGCCCCACCCAATGAATATTCGTTATACGGACATGCATATACAAAAAATAGTCCAGTGGAAAAGGCTATTTTTTGGGTGGAAGCCGGGTTTGAGACATATACAAAGTATCCTTTATTATTTCTGGTAGATCTGACCCTTCTGATGAAGTATCAGTTGAGTGCAAAGTTAGCCCCCTTGAGGATTCACAGTTGGAGACATATACAAAGTATCCTATTATTTCTGGTAGATTTGACCCTTCTGAAGAAGAATCAGCCGAATGCAAAGTTAGTCATTAATAGATACAACTTAACCCATTTTTGTCTCAGGATTCTGGTTTTTGCGTCATATTCTGTTTTCAGGGACTAGAAATCGACTAAAACACATTTCGTACACTCCCGGTGGTATTTTACTAGATTTCCCTAAAATTCACTAGCAATGAGTAAGGATTTCTTAAGGATATTAACATATTGACATGAAGTATGTATCTACATTGATGCTTTTGAGATGCCTGGCAGATGATGCCATTTTTGTCTTCATTTAGAACATAACTACACAAGGCAAGTATTCTGATATATGCATCTTCACTTTCACAAACACTTCCTGAAAAAAATACACATTTTTATACACAAAGACTTCTATGTAAGTCAAAGTCACTATAGTAAATCTTGATATGGAGAAATGTTTATTATTCTCTGCTTTCTATGAATAACCTGATTGATTCACTGAGGAAGCCCCATGGTTAGAGTGCATATCAAAAGCCACCAGCCTGGCATATGGCGAATATTCACTGGGTTGGGACTCGCACTATTTTTCAATAAGCTGGCCGATTGAGACTGATTACCTCTTATCCGAAATGACTGCTGACACCTCTGGGGCATATTTTGTAAGCACCACAGAATTTTTCGATTGTGAGGAAAATGCTAATCACCAACCAAATTATCAACCACTACAGAAATGCCGCCAACGACAGAAATGACAACTACAATACAAATTTCAACCATCACTGACATACCAACCACAACCGAAATACCAACCACAACAGAAGTACTAACCACGACAAAAATACCAACCACAACAGAAATACCAACCACAACACAAACACCAACCACGACAAAAATACCAACCACAACCGAAATACCAACCACAACAGAAGTACTAACCACGACAAAATACCAACCACAAACAGACCACGACAAAAATACCAACCACAACAGAGATACCAACCACGACAGAAGTACCAACCACGACAGAAGTAATAACCACGACAGAAACACCAACCACAACAGAAACACCAACCACAACAGAAATACCAACCACGACAGAAGTACCAACAACGACAGAAACACCAACCACGACAGAAATACCAACCACAACAGAGATACCAACCACGACAGATACACCAACCACGACAGAAGTACCAACCACAACACCCATACCAACCACGACAGAAGTACCAACCACAACACCCATACCAACCACAACAGAAGTACCAACCACGACAGAAGTACCAACCACGACAGAAACACCAACCACGACAGAACCACAACAGAAGTACCACCACGACAGAAGACAGAAATACCAACCACAACACAAACACCAACCACAACAGAAGTACCAACCACAACAGAAGTACCAACCACAACAGAAGTACCAACTACGACAGAAACACCAACCACGACAGAAGTACCAACCACGACAGAAGTACCAACCACAACACCCATACCAACCACGACAGAAGTACCAACCACGACAGAAACACCAACCACAACAGAAATACCAACCACAACACCCATACCAACCACGACAGAAGACCAACCACAACATACCAAACCACGACAGAAGTACCAACCACCACCAAACAACAAGTACCAACACAACAGAAGTACCAACCACAACACCCATACCAACACAACAGAAGTACCAACCACAACCACACGTACAACCACAACACCCGTACCAACCACGACAGAAACACCAACCACAACCGAGATACCAACCACAACAGAAATACCAACCACAACAGAGTACAACCACGACAGAAGTACCAACCACAAACAGAAGACAGAAAGTACAACCACAACAGAAGTACCAACCACAACAGAAGTACCAACCACAACAGAAGTACCAACCACAACAGAAGTACCAACCACAACAGAAGTACCAACCACAACAGAAATACCAACCACAA